GCGACGGAGTGGGACTCCAACTCAAAAAAAAAAAAAAAAAGTTCTCTGAATCTCTTCATTTTGCAGATGGGAAGAAACTGTGGCCCAGAGGTCTATCAGCCATTACATACACATTTTGAGAATTGAATTGCTGACTTTAAGCTCATTGCTTTTTTTCCTCTAATAACACAAATGTAAGCTGGGGTGACTTTACCTCTTAAGAACTAAACAAAATTTCTGGATGGACATGGTAGCTCATGTTTGTTATCCCAGCACTTTGGGAGGCCAAGATGAGAGGAACTCAGGAGTTTAAGACCAGACTGGGCAATGTGACGGGACTCCCATCTCTATTTTTTTAAAAAAAGAACTAAGCAAAATTTCCTAAAATACTCGGTTTTACTCCCCTGGAAGTCTAAGACTTTTATTAATGTGAATCGCTGGCGCCTAGGTTCTAGGTTTGGTGATTCTGAACTATTACTTCCTGTTCCTGGATTAACTTCTTAGCCTGCTGTGTACTAATTTTCACCCTGAGTCAACTCTGCTGTTAAATTTACTATTGATTTGCACAAAACATCACACAAGTCACTCTATATGTGGTGAAGATATGTCCAAACTATAGACAAAGTGATGCCATGACATCCAGCTAATTTTTTTTTTGAGTTGGAGTCTCATTCCATCGCCTAGGCTAGAGTGCAATGTCATGCTCACGGCCACCCCAGCATTGACCTGCTGGGCTCCGGTGATCCTTCTGCCTCAGCCTTCCAAGTAGTCAGAACTACAGACACATACTACCACACCCGGCTAATTTTTTATTTTATTATAGACACGAGGTCTCGTCAAGTTGCCCAGGCTAGTTTCGAACCCGTGGGCTCAGGCAATCCACTCTCCTCAGCCTCCCAGAGGTATGGGATTACAGGTTAAGCCACTGAGCCCGGCCAATTTTTCTTTTTTTTTTTTTTTAAAGTAAGAGTCTCCCTCTGTTGCCCAGGCTAGAGTGCAGTGGCACGCTCAGGGCCACCGCAGTTGTTACTTACTGGGCTCAGGCAGTCCTTCTGCCTCAGTCTTCCAAGTAGTTGGAACCACAGGCATGTGATACCATGCTTGACTAATGTTTTGATTTATGGTAGAGACAAGGTCTCACCAAGTTGCCTGGGCTGGTCTCGAGCCCTTGTGCTCAAGTAATTCTCTTGCCTTGGCCTCCCAAAGTGTTGGGATTACAGGCGTGAATCACTGCATCGGCTAATTTGTTGATTTATTGTAGAGAGGTCTCACCAGGTTGCCCAATCTGCTTTCAAACTGTTGGGCTCAGGCAGTCCTCTTACCTCTGCCTTCAAAGTGCTGGGATCATAAGCATGAGCCACCATGCCCGGCCGTAGAACATTTTAAAAATAGGAAATAATATATACTGTTCATTTTCCTATTGTGTTGTTAGTCCTTGATTGATTTTATAATAGCTCTTTAGAAAAATTACCATTTTGTAGGCCAGGTGTGGAGGCTCATGCCTATAATTCCCAGCACTTTAGGAGGCTGAGGCAAGAGGATTGCCTGAGCTCATGGGTTCGAGACCAGTCTGGGTAACTTGGTGAGACCTCATCTCTATAATAAATTAAAAAAAAATTAACTGGGCATGGTGCATGCCTGTAGTCTCAACTACTTGGAAGGGTGAGGTGGAAGGATTGCCTGAGCCCAGCAGGTCAAGACTGCAGTGACCATGAGCGTGCCATTGCACTCCAGTCTGGGTGACAAAGTGAGACTCCAACTCAAAAAAAAAAAGAAAGAAAAATTGGCCTACGTTGCAGATACATTTTCTCAGTTTGTCATCATTTTACCATTTAGATTTTTAAAAATATAGTCAGCTTGTCCTTTACCTTTTCTTTTATAGCTCTAGCATATTGTTTCTTAATTAGAAAAAAATTTTCTACTCCTAGTTTATAAATCATTCTCTCATTCTTTGTAGTATTTTAATGATTTTGTTTGTTCCCTGCATTTGTATATTTTATCCATTTTCTAGTTTTCCTTGCTTAGAGCATTAGCAATAGCGTACACCTTTGTAGATGGTTACTTACTTACACAGTACCACTTATTTAATTGTTCATCTTTTCTCTAATGATATGTATTCGTTTATATTTGTGGATTTTCCATTCTGTTATGTCAGTGTCTTTTTTTTTTTTTAATGAGTCAGCATCTCACCCTATCACCCAGCTGGAGTGCAGTGGTACGCTCATGGCCACTGCAGCCTTGATCTGTTGGGCTCAGGCCATCCTTCCACCTCAGCCTTCCAAGGATTTGGAACTACAGGCATGTGCCATCACACATGGGTAATTTTTTAATTTATTGTAGATACAAGGTCTCGTCAAGTTTCCCAGACTGGTCTCAAACCTTTGGGTTCAAGCAGTCCTCTTACCTCGGCCTCCCAAAGTGTTGGATTACAGGCGTGAGCCTCCGCACCCAGCTACATCAGTGTCTTTTATCAGCATGAGACTACTTGAATTATTTAGGTCTTATAATATATTTCCATACCTGATAGGCTAGTTCCTCCTTTTAATGTTCAAAAATTTTCTAACTACTGTGGCTTGTTTATTTTGCAATATGAATTCATAATCACTTTGCTAATTGCAAGAATAAAATTATATTGGTGTTTTTATTGGAATCATATCAGCATAGAAAATTTGGAGAACTTGCATCTTTTGGGTACTTAGTTAATAAGTTGCTACATATTACAACTTTCCAGTTGTTTATGCGTTCTTTATGTCTTTGAGGGCCATTTTAAGAT